GATTTGGTTTGGTGGCTGACTGAGTTTGAGGTGTTCACAAATTATTTGACTTGAGTAAAACTGCACAAATAGGCCTTACAGTGTATGATTTCGTTGAATTGAGGCTATTTTTAGTAATGTGCAGACGTGCAGAGGAGGGATAGTGGTTATATTGGTAGAAGGATTTTGGATATGGAGCTGCCAGGCAAGAGGTCAAGAGGAAGGCCAAAGAGGAGATATATGTATGTGCTAAAAGAGGACATGAAGTTAAGTGGGGTGAGAGTAGAGGATACCAAGGATAGAGTTAGGTGGAAACAGATGATTCACTGTGGCGACCCCTAACGGGAACAGCCAAAATAAGAAGAACAAGAGGCTATTTTTAGTAAAGTTATTGTTGAGTCTGTTTTCAGTTTGTGATTGGAGTGTTACACTGAAAACCCTACTTTAAGAAATTTTACACACCATGCAATCTGAACTGAAGCATTTATAACAAGTGAGCTCTGTATACATGTAACATTCAGTGCAAATGTACATGTTTACTGGGTAAAGGTACAAATGCAAAGATTGAGCTTGGGATTTTATGAATTGATATTGTTCAAATAAGAATCACAATCAATTACAATTTTTTATTTTTATTTTTATCCAACCCTACTGCACACCGGTCTGAGCTCTCAGCTTGCTTTGTTGAAGAGATGCTATTGCTGGCTATGAGATGTGACCCTGTAAGTTGAGTGAACAGTGTGTGTATTGTACTTCATTCAGCCTGTGCTGGTTAGCTTACACATGTTAACAGCTATCTGCAAATACTGTATCATGCTGATGTCTTGTCAGTTAAAATGAATTGTTATGGGCTATATGAATCAAAATCAAATTGAGTTGGGAGATTAGTGGAAGTATTCCCTCCTAGTGAAAACTATGACCTGGGGATGTATGTCCTCATATTCAGTAGTACACCTTTAGAGTATTTTAAAGCTGGATGTAGAGCAACAAAAACCCGTCCAGTCAAGAGCAGCTGTAAAGAGTCATCTATATACTGCATGGCTTTTTGATTATCATTTAATTAGTCATTCTCAAATTAGACATTTCTGTTTTCCAAAGTAAACGGCGTCATTCTTCTTGGGCTTTGCCTAAAAACAAATAGAAGTGTATTATAGACCCAGCTATGCTCAAAGCACCAAAATAAAGTAGGTGCAGCTGGGGTATTAGGAATTTCAATTAAAAATAATATTAGCATTTAAATTTAGTTATTATATTGCAGTCAAATTTATAACACCAGTGTTGTAATAAAGGTAATTGGAGTACTCTGCTGGCAGAGCCTGTCGTTAGAGAAGCTATTATTAACGGGTGGTAGATGGAGGAGGGTGTACTGAGGTTTGTTGAATATTGTACATTTTCTGTGTTTCTAAACCCACTGCACCTGAACTGCTACTGGCTAATATTTTATTTTAAGTAACACATATTCCCTTCAGTATTGCAACCATGTCATGTGCCAGTTGCAAGGTAATGCTAATCTGTTTTGCCACATTAGAAGTAAAGCTTCCCAAAGTGCCTTAAATGTAACAAGTAATACTATACAACATGACTAGCTGCCAATATTTGAGCATAACACTGCCATAAATCTAAACTGGTATTTTCTACTGCCTATCATATGGTGCCTTTTTATATTAAAGAAGAGGCTTCTCTGCTAACTTGGCTATGAGCACACCACTAATTGCTAAGTAACTATTTATAAATGCCTTTGAGCAGAGGCTTTTAGCTCTGGAGAAATTAACATGATATTTATAGTTTGCTTTGGATTGTCGGGTCTTGATAACAGAAGGCATACTGTATGGTGTTCATGCATCGGTGTGTGTAGGAGTAGTTTACTTTGTCTGCAGTGATAGTGACCACACCGTCATGAAGTTTGTAAAGTCAGCTTGGATTTGAATAGATAAACTTTGCAGGGTTGAGTTGGGGTTTGGTTTGCAGGTTCACTGTGTCACAGAGTTTGTTTATGGTGCATAGTACATTATAGGTATATGGCTTTTTGGATTGACGTGTTACTGGTCAAAACCTACAGGACCTGTTTGAGTTAGTCTGAGTAGTGTACAATGCAAGTCTTTAAAACTATGTTTTGTTAAAGTAAGATAGTACAGTGGGACCTCGGTTTTCATATGCCCTACTTTTCGTATGATTCGTTTTTTGACGCCTTTTATGTCAAAATTTTGTCCCAGTTTTCATACATCTGCTCGGTTTTTGTACAGTTAATTGGTTGGTTCAGCGTCACTAGTCCACCAAGCTCATCCGCCTGCCCACGTGACTCAGCCACTCATTTCCCGGAATCGAGCACCCACACAAAGCATCCCATGCGTTCGAGACTCAGTCTGCCATTGTTTTTTGTGCTTGTTGTGACTGCTAAATAAACTACCAACCTGCCATCAGGGGTTACGTCAAGGAATCTAAAAATATGAAACATATTTTCTTTCTTTTTTTTTTTTTTTGCTTACTACTTAATGCCAAATGTGTTATTTCATAGTTGCAATGTTATCCGTATTAATCCACAATGTAGAAAATAAAATAAACAAAGAAAAGCCATTGATTAAGAAGGTGTCCCAAACCTCTGCTTCTGCTTTAAACCCATTATATTTTTGGATTTTCCTGTATGGTTTCATTTAGAGCATTTTTTGTTTAGGAAAACTCTTCCACAAAAATCTTCATCTTTAAACTTGTCTCAAAATACATTTGACATTATTTTCCACTAAAGAAGCAACTTATACCCCATCTGTTTGTGCAGCACTGCAAGTTGAGATAAATCAGGTGGGATTGCCATACTGCCATAATTAACTGCAAATAACGTGCCTCCATGCCTTCTGCAGCGCTCTGCATTGGAACCTCCCTGACCTGGCTGTACTTATCTCAGAAAGGCTTTCACTCTGTTGTTGTTGTGAAATGGAGCTTATAATTACCCCGCTGTAGTGTCACGTGACACCCCCTCCGCTTTCCCCTGTGTGTGTTTCTCATAGATTCCTGCCATGTTTCTGCTCCTATTCTGCCATCCTTAAAGCTCTCACACACATATAATATATGAAAGTGGTAGAGAAAATTGTCAGGAATCCGAAAATGACATTATTATTGCGATCGGATGCTGCTATACCCGTGAATTGACGAAGTTAAGCTACCTGAAGTATTTTCGTGCTTCCTGCTT